TGATTTAATGTCCCACGAGGAACTGCAAGACGTAACGTAAGTGATGTAAGTGAGGATCAATAGGATGTGAATATTGAAAATAGCAGCTCACTACGTAAACCTTACAGGTAGAGGATGAGATCTCAGCAACGGCGCAGTGTGACGTCATAAGATTACGCAAAGATGTTACCGTAAAATTAGAACTTGCAACATATATCCCAGCCTGCAAACGGCAGTCAAGCTGTACTACATTACGACGCAAGCGAGCGCTGTGATATTGTTCTTGTATAAGAACAATGTCTAACTTTTGTTCTAAAATTACACGGTCTAATTCTGATGTAGCTATTTTATCGTTATGAAGATTTAATTGGCCTATTGAAATATTATCCATCACTTAGTAAGTTACTCCATAAACTTTTTTTTTTTTTTTTTAATTAAACTATTCAGTAATTGGTATTTGATATTAGCTGTTCCAGTTTTAATTTGTATGTGGCACAGTCGTGTGAGCCGCATCGATGGTCAGATCGTTTTTTGAACCGCTTGCACTGTGCGCACGTGGGCTTAAAATCTGGTGTGTCTTTATCTGGACAAGCTCGTGTTTCATGTGCGGCGGCGCAATTAGCACAAGTAGGGGTTTTAATGGTGCAAAACTTTTGTACATGACCGAATTGCTGACAATTTAAGCAACGAACTACTTCTATATCGTCTATGAATCTACATGTGGCCCAGACTATATAAAATTTATCTTTTGTGTTGGCTAGATGTTTCCTAACTGCTGCCTCTAATTCTAAGCCTATCCATTGACGACCATTTTCTAGTTTACGATGCCTAACAATTTTGGTTGACTTAATAAAATCGTTCTCACTTAATTTTAATTCGTCCTTGATATTCTGACGGTATAAAGCTGTTAGGAAGGCACGATCTTCCATAGAACCGGGTACGTCTTTTACAATTATACGGGGCTTTCGGCCTTTCGGTTTTTCTAATCGTAAACCTGCTGATTTAATGGCGTCTACAGATTCCAGTTTCTTAAGCTGCCGTTCGTTAGCTACACGTAACACGACGCCTGCCTTAGAGGTTTTTTTAACGCCTACAATTTGGAAACCCTCATCGCTCGGTTTAATAGCCTTCATAAGAGCTTGTTTCGTTGCTGACGAGGTCGCATAGTCCGCTAAGCGTTCCGTAGTGGGATAGGCAATAACACAAGGCCTAGGAACGCGCGCTTCAGTAGGTACCGGGCACGGGGCAGATTTAGGTGGTAAGCGAAGCTTAAGTTTGTCCGCGTACGTTAAACTCGTTTGTTGAGTTGCGATACCCTCCATTTGTCGCTCAAAATTCGCTAACTTCGCTTCGTTGCTAAAGGATTTTATTGCTAACATTGATACGATACCGGTAATTCGTTGAGTAATATCCATAATCGCCGTTTTATTACCTACATTCATCCGAGATCCCTGATCATTAACTAATTCATTAATTTTTGATAAGTAATCGGTGGCCTGTGACACTAAGTCACAGTAATTGTACTCCCCACAGTTATCACGACCGGTAGGAGACGAAACATTTCCACTTAAGTCCGAATTAATAATGCGTCTACGGCTTCCGTCTTTCGGTGAGAAATCCGCAGGTGACCCTTCGTTAAATGTCCTTTTCCCGGTTGGTGTTAGAAATTCACTTGTACCGCCGGGATCCGGCAACTCGCTAACGACCGACATAGCCAAACAAAGACACACCAATCAACAATTTAAAAAAAAAAAAAAAAAAACAAGCTTAAAAATAAACAATACGCAGAGAAAAATCAATGTAAACAAAGGATACCACCTACCCACTTTTAGTAAGAAAATAAATTTACTCACCAATAGTCGTAATAAAAGAATTCGGCACTATATTTATGTTTAGAAAACAATAAAACTTACTGAATTTCTTTAGAAACACTATACACAACCTTTAGCCGCCCGCAAAGTGGGAACTAGTCACATAAAAGCACAGAAAACAATATTAAAATTGTTAGCATACGAAGTCACACGTTAGTCGCACGGTGCCGCGAAGGGAAGTGAAGGGTTAATATCGGATATGTTAATATTCTTGATGATTCTCATGAACGCTCGAAAGTTAGTACTTTGTTGATTAATAAGCTCGTCTGTGTTAGAAGGTATCCCCTTATCCTCAGTAGGTGAAACTTGCCAGTTCTGTAATAACCCACGTATCGTTTCATATTCCTGTTTAACCTTTTCATAGGCCTTGCTGATGAAATAATCATCCGTTTTTCGCTCTGTAGATGTCGAGAGTATGGTGTTATTAAGGTCAAATTGAGTCCATAATTCCTCGACCACTTCCAGCCTTTCACTGATGTACGCAGCAGTTTTTCGTTTAGCTGAATCCTTTTTGAAATTGCTCAAAATCTTCCTGATAGATTCAGATAGGATTTGTTGTTTTTGCAGTTTTGCTTCCATAGCGAGTCTTGTAGATACCTAGTATCGCTCACGCTGGTATGTTGTTTGTTCAGTGATATGTGTGATCGCAATATTCTACCGGGTATGTGCGACGCTCTCAATTGAACTGGTGAGACCCGCTTGTGGGAGGCCAGCCAACCGATTCGCTACCACAGTCAAACACACGACACACTTCACAAAAACCTCGAAGGACCAAAATGTTGGGGCTGTTATTATATTTTTCCCAACATTTAATGTTGAAGTTTGTTTATAGTTGAAGTTCGGTAAAAAATACCAATGTTGCAGTTATGAGCGTTTATTGAACACTAAAATTCACTGTATAAATTAAAACCTTATAAACCACAATTTCGCTGACTTAACTAAGTACGAGTTCGTACAAGTGCTGTTGCTAAAAACATTAATAATAAGTTGAAAACAATAGGCATCTTCCTTGATCTTTCTAAAGCTTTTGATACTGTCTCTATTCTGCTCTTACTAATGAAACTTGAACTAATTGGCATTAGAGGGCTACCTCTCAATATTTTTAAAAGTTACTTAACTAATCGTACCCAAAGCGTTACTATCGGTGGCTATACAAGTGGAGTAGAACATCTGAACTGCGGCGTTCCTCAGGGTAGTGTCTTCGGTCCTACCCTGTTTCTTATTTACATAAATGATCTGTGCAAGCTTTCCCCATCTAACGCTAAAATTATTACCTACGCAGATGATACAGTATTACTGATTCATGGTAAAAGTTGGGATGATGCACGTTCTTTTGCTGTATCTGCTCTGCAAACCATTATGAATTGGCTAGCCAATAACCTTCTTACACTCAACTTAGAAAAAACGAAATTCATCACTTTTTCTCCAAGAATTGCATCTCAGCCGCCCTCTTCTTTTTCCCTAAGTGCCCATCTGTGTTCTACTACTCAAAACTGTAATTGTATTGCTATTAAACGCACAGATTTTATCAAATACCTTGGGGTGTACGTGGATAGTATGTTGACCTGGAAGGAGCAAATTAGATCATTGGTGCCAAGAGTTCGTAAATTAATATTTGTATTCAAACATTTAAGAACGGCTGCCAACCTACAAACACTGAAAATGGTTTATTTTGCTCTCGCTCACTCTATGTTGACCTACTGTGTTACTGCATGGGGTGGCTCAGTAAAATCTTTAATGCTGCCTTTGGAACTGTCGCAGCGGGCTGTGCTGAAAGTTATGACACGTAAGCCTATTCGTTTCCCAACCAAGGAGCTCTATGACCTATGTAAACTCCCTACAGTCAGACACTCATTCTTGCTGAGCACCATACTGCGCAAGCATGCAGAATTGCCATTTGACGCGGTATCTATTTCCCGGGTACGGAGGTCGGATACGGTGTCCCATATTGAGGTGGCCAAGTTTGAGATCCTTAAGCGTCAATATCATTTTATTAGCCCTGTTATATACAACCGAGTAAATAGAATACTGAATGTCAATACAGTTACGCTTAAGACTTGTAAGTTAGTTACAAATGAATGGCTGCACACCCTGAACTATGAAGAACTTGAACTTATGGCTAAACCACATAATTGCAAATAGAAATTTCCTCCAAAACTCTCCACCCCTCTCAGTAACACACACTCACATACACACACACACACATACACACACAGACTTACTAACAATTTATGATCTGATTTGGTTTAGTTTTATTTTGTTAATTTTAAACGGTTATTAATGGAACTCTGACGGCCCCAGGCCGGAGGTGGCGTTAATGTCTGCGACACAGTTCTTTTAACTAATGCAGACACTTTCGCATAAAATGTTACTGTTTCCTTTGTTCTAGTTTCCAATAAAGCTTTATTATTATTATTTTTATTTTATTTTTTTAGACGCGCTTAATCGCTTAACTAGTTCAGATTTTAATTTTTCAAACTTACCTTCCGCCGGGAGTCCACACAAAATATCTTTAATTTGTGCTACATACGTGTGATCCATCCGTGAAACTGCGTAATAGAACTTTGTAGAATCACTGGTCACGTTGGATAATATGAACTGTCCGTCTAATTGGGCAAACCAACAGTTGTATATATGGGCGCTGTACTGATTTTATATTAACAGAATGTTGATATGACGTCATAATGAGTGCTAAATAAATTAAATTTAAGAAGTATCGTGTTTGATATCTATTTTAACATTAATATTTAATTTTAATATCCATTTTGTTTAACTTATAATTCATTAAAATGTATTATAATTAAATCATGTAACATTATACTATGTGGTGATTCTGTTTTGCGAATTTGAACATAAAAACGTAGTCTCAATTAACTTTACGATTAAGCAGTAGTTGCCAATATACATTTACGAAGGAAAGACGTGTTTTTCTAACCGATCCGCCGGCACAAGCCAAATTGAACCTTACGACCTCACCATATGGTCGACTTCGAGCCGTATCGAAGTTCAACATTGCATCGAAGACCGGCTGCAGGGAGAACAAAAGAACTGCATTCCTGAGCGATAAGCGAGCGCCGGGTTGAAGCTTAGTGCAATTATAAAGATATTTTAGATATACTGTGTGAGGATTTCGACTGTTACGTGTGAAATATGGCCACGGAAACCGAACAAGCAATCAGTATACTGGAAAATACAGCCCTACTATTGAGGAGAACCCAGCTCAATTTATCAAAATGTCCCAAACAACGACTGGCTAAAGTGGGCTACTTACAAACCAGAATAAAAACAATCGAAGAATACTGGATGATCTTTAAAGAAGCCCATAAAAAATTATTGACCTGTACCACTAGTGAGGAGCGTGGATTGCTGCCATATTTCGAGAAGGAGGAACTTTTTTCATACAAGAAGATTTGTACTTGTGTATGTTGGGAGACTTAAAAGACATGTTGGCGGCAGTCGAGTCTGCTAAAAGTAAACAATCGCCGCCAGAAGACCTGCAAAATAAGAAAGTTCACCTCCGGGCTATACATTTACCTCTGTTTTCGGGCGAGTACGAACTCTGGCCTAGTTTTAAAGATTTGTTTTCATCACTTGTCCACAATTGCACGACACTAAGCGACGTCGAAAAACTCCATTACTTAAAAACCAGTGTGGCAGGTGAAGCAGCGACTTTATTGAAGCACATTCCAGTAAGAAGCGCTAACTACATTCAAGCATGGGGAACGCTGAACCATCGATATGGGAACAAGCGTCTAATAGTGAACGCATTGTTGAAGCGACTTTTTGCCCAGAAGAAATGTACCAGCCAAGCCGCAACCCAACTGAAATCTCTATTCGACACCACCAAAGAAGTATTACAGAGTCTAGAAAATCTGGAGGTGTCGATGGATTCTTGGGATCCAGTAATCATATTTCTGGTTGCACAGAAGTTGGACTCAGAATCCCAGAAGGAGTGGGAACAAAATTCCTACTCAGAGAATTCTCAGAACTTGTCGACTTGGAGAGATCTGCGCAAGTTTTTGGAGGCAAAAAACTACGAAGCTTGCCAAGGAACGAGTCCTTCACGTTACAGCCACGGAAAGACCAAAGCAAAAAAGTTGTGCTTTATGTACAGATTGTCCCACACGTTGTGCCATTGTAACGTATTTACCAAGATGTCACCAAACGAACGTAGAGAACATATCAAAACAAACAAGCTCTGTTTCAACTGCCTCGGAGTATGATATTCGGTGTTTAGGTGCCGTTTGCCAACATCATACCGTGTATGTAAGAGACGTCACCACACTCTTCTACATCTACCTAACCACGGGGAGGCATCGGCTTCTCATGTTGTAGCTAATCAACCGATGTCATCCAATCAAGCAAGTGTAGAAGAAGGGGAAGTTCAAGCAATGGTTGCGTTACACTATCACGCAGGGCGAAAACAGACAATTTCACTATTAGCCACTGCAATAGTAATTTTAAGGAATGAACGTGGACACACTACTACTGCATTGAAGGCGCTGATAGACTCAGGATCTCAAGCATGTTTTATAAGTGAGAAGGCAACTCAGATCCTGAAACTACATGAGGCAGCAGTAGATCTTATCGTGTCTGGACTTTTTTTTTAAATTTATTTATTTAGATATATTCACAATATTTTACAGGAATATACTCCCAAGGCAATATTGCAAGCTTATAACTAGTTATCTGATTGTCTTAGAATCTAAATTGCATAATTTTATAAATGAATTTAAACAAATTAATATATGTCAGAAATAACGCAACTTTGTGCTACTTCTGTGAATTTCGACAGGCTACAGTTGTAGATGTCTGTATTTGCCGCAATAACATTAATAATACGTATGGCGCGCGACAAGGGGGCAAATTTGAGCATGTTGGTTCTCGCCACCGGCACGCTGAGTGCTACTAAGCGGCGACGAGCGCCTGCGCATCCGTTGGGGCCACATAGCCGTAGGCACGCCAGCACGGCCGGGTGGTGCCGCTGACCGCGCAGCACGCGCCACACATAGCACGCTAGCGCGACATCTCGCCGCACGCTCAACCGCACGTACCCTACCATGCCGAGTACAAACAAACTGGGGTACATCAGTGGGTACAAAGGGTACACTCCATATTCTTTAAAATACAAAAATCGAGCGAATTTGTTTTGTATTTTTTCCACCATAAGGCTATACTTCGCCTCATAGGGATTTCAGATAATGGCTGTCGACTCAAGATGACTCCGAACAAGTGCGTTGTATAATATTCTCACGGCCATTGTATTCTCAAAATCTTTACAATTTCTTGAAATGAACCCTAAATTTCTAAACGCCTTGCCGCAGATGTTTACAATGTCTTTACGAAACGTCAGCTCAGGTACAATTTCAACCCCTAAGTCACGGGTACAACCTAAGCGCGGTATTAATACATCGTTCATACTATATGTATAGTGCAGAGGAGTCCTCGCCCGTGTATAACTCATTACTCCGCACTTGGCTATGTTAAAATGCAGTTTGTTAGTATTGCTCCACTGCACTACCCTATCCACATCACCTTGCAACCTCTCCGCGTCCGACGCGTCTTTTATCGACAAATACACCTTAAGGTCATCTGCAAACAGCAGACACTCGGCATGTTGGACTACCGCCGGTAGGTCGTTAACCATTAAAATGAATTCCAACGGTCCCAAATTGGACCCCTGACTTATGCCCGAAAACGTAAAATACTGTAGTGATTTATAACCTGTATACTCCACGTACTGTCTGCGTTCGCCAAGGTAGCTCGCGAAGAATTCTAGCAGTTGCGGCGTAAAACCCAGTGCCGCCAACTTCGACGATAGCACGTCATTATTGACGACATCAAAAGCCTTCCGGAAATCGAAGTACGCACAATCTACCTATCCTCCCGCATCAATGACTGGTGTAAGATATGTTGTAAAAGATAGCAAGTTGGTCCCTGTACTTCGCCCCGGCCGGAAACCGTGCTGCGCATCAGTTAATTGACAACTGAGTTGAGTATAAATACCTGCGTGTAATGCTGATTCAAATATTTTAGCAAACGCCGACAGCACTGCGACTGGTCTATAACCACTGACGTCATCATTTCCCCTACCCTTCGGAACCGGTATCACTCTTGTGACTTTCCATTGGTCGGGGTAATGACTTTCCTTTAAGCACAGATTAAAGATGTGCAACAATGGCCCCCAGAACACCTTACGACAATCCTTCACAATGTATGGAGGTATACCATCTGGCCCCACGGAGTGCTTGGGTTTGAGGCGGTTTAGTGCCGATCGCAGCTCACGCTCAGTGAACTGACCCATATGTACCCGAGCTGCGCGGGCGCTCACACCTGCCGATCGTTCCGCCGCGACCGGATCCAACGCTGGTCGTTCCTCGCTATACACTGAGTGAAAATATACATTCTGTGTACTAAGTATCGGGAATTTGTCAATAAAACAAAAAATACAAATTATTCATCTAAATTTATTTTATCGCCTTCAATGTAGGCCCCATCGCTTGCAATGCAACATCTCCACCGCTTCACCCAGTCTTCCATACATTTTTCATAGGCTATTTGCGGTATGGCCTTTAGCTCATTCAGCGAATTTTCTTTTATGGCTTCTATCGACTCAAAACGTTTTCCTCGAAGTGGTAATTTTAACTTGGGAAATAAAAAAAAGTCAGACGGAGCCATATCAGGTGAATACGGTGCTTGGTCGAGAACTTTTGTTGAATTTTTCGCTAAAAACTCTTTCACTATAATGGCTGTGTGTGATGGTGCATTATCATGGTGTAGCATCCATGAGTTGTGTTGCCGTTTTCGGCGGATACTCTCACGCAAACGCTTCATGACGCCTAAATAATATTCTTTATTCACTGTTTCTCCCTCTGGAAGGAGTGAACCACACCACGGTAGTCAAAAAAAAACTGTCAGCATCACCTTGATTTTGGAGCGACTTTGCCGCGGTTTTTTTGGTTTCGGCTCGTTTTCGAGACGCCATTCTGAAGACTGTTGGCTTGTTTGCACGTCGTACTCATAAACCCATGTCTCGTCGCCAGTTATTATACGTTTCATAAAGGTCGGATCCGTAGAAGCTCGGGAAACCATGTCTTCAGCGACATGCTTTCGCTGCGCTTTTTGAACAAAATTAAGCTCTTTTGGAACTAGTCGAGCGGCGACGCGTTTCATGCCTAAATTGTCAATGAGAATGTTGTGGACGGACTTAAAATATATGTTCACCTCACTAGCCAACTCTCTCAGACTCATACGTCGATTTTCGAGCACTAGCTTCTTGATTCTGTCGATGTTTTCTTTGGTCGTAGCGGTTGAAGGTCTACCAGAACGAGGCAAGTCTACTACTACTTCTCGGCCTTCTTTAAAAGCCTTATACCATTCATAAGCCCTTGTTTTCGATATACACGATTCGCCGTAGGTATTTCGCAACATTTTTAGTGATTCACCACAAGAAATATCATTCGAAACACAAAATTTAAGGCACACTCTTTGTTCAACAATATTTTCCATTGTAAAAATCGCCGAGGACTCAAAACTATCACCAACAAAAAGTGTAGTTTAAAACAAATTAAATGACAAATCCCGCTCAAATTTGCGCGCTTAATCAGTACAGTGCTACCAACATGCAGTAAAAAAATTAGAACGACCTCTTTTACGCGGGTCTTTTTATTGACATATTCCCGATACTTTTTACACAGAGTAGTATAGCAAAACACTCCGCACACTCTTTCGCGCTTAATACCCTACCATGTTTCCTTATTGTTTATTTTTTACGTAATTCCAAAAAGATTTCGGCTCATTATTAATATTTATTTGTAATCTACGCTGGTACGCTTTATAGGATGACTCAAGTTTACGCTTCACCAATGAGCGATACCGTGAAAACGTTTCGTAATCACACTGGGAACCTGTAATTTTGAAAATTTTGTGATATCTTGATTTTATCTTAATATCGCGTATTAAATCTGGCGTGTACTATTTTGGATATATGTACCTACGACTCACTTTATTTGATTTGGTTTTCGTGGGAGTACACTCATTTATAGCCTCATTAACAATATTACAGAAATAGGTCAACGCCTCCTCTGAGCGTTTAATATCATACAATGTATCCCAATCTAACATGTTAAATATCTCATATAACATTGCAAAATTACACTTATTGAAGTTCCAGTTATTACTACGGTTGTTGTCAATGTCTATATGGTCCTGCATAGGCAGCTGGGAAGAGTCCTCGAAGGTTAGAGTCAGGCATGAAGTAAATGTAAATGTATTATCACGATGGAACAATTTCATTTTACCTATTAAAGCCTACGTGATGACGAAGCCCTTGACCTCTAACATGCCTTCAGGCACAATAATAAGAAGAGATTGGCCGCACCTTGCTGGCATTCAACTGGCAGGCGAAACATTTCCCGCCTCCTGTAACATCGATCTGC